GAAGTGGGAAGTTTAATAGAGTACGAATTCAGGGTAAGTGGGCGCAGATCCCACGGATTCCCTTATTATGCCAACATAGACGGTCTGGGATATGTAACTCTAATACGTGGTATTTATAAATAACCGAGCAACGAGGTGCTGGGGGAGGAGCCCCTCAGAAAAGGAAGGCGGGGGCGGTTGCAGAACTCAAAATATAATCAACACCACTGAGTTGTATGCAGCGAAATGAATTGGTGTGTGCTTTTCGATGCATATTCTCAATTTCAGATTTTGTCCAGAATCAAGTTTTTTCCCTTTAAGGTAGAGTTTTAATGTATATGTGCTATAGACACAAAGTAATGCTTGCTTTTTCTACTGGGAGCCTACAAAACAAAGAACAGTTGAAGAGGAAATAATTCACAGGTGGCTTTAGAATGTATTAAGATTTATTTCTTCCTTTGTTCGAAGGTCTTCTTTCTTAAATGCTGGTGATTGCATGAGTGATACCACTTGTCTAACTTCCACAAGCCCACATTTGTAAGAGTGGCTATGAATTGGGGATATGCCGATTAACAAACGGGCATTCTTTTCTTAGCTCTGGGAAGAGCTTGCTTTCTCTTTCTGCTGACTGGAGAAAGGCCAGCCGGGGCTCCATGAGTCTTGTTTGTCTTGGAATCCATCTCCCTCCCGTCTAGGAGATTCTTAGGGCAGGGTCCCGGGGTCCAAAGGGTGAGTTCCCCTCCCAGCGCTGTGTTGGTGGTATTCAGGTCCCTCCTTCCCTGCTCACTTCTCTCTCCCTTTAGCTCTCGGAAAGAAACAAGGTGATGGGGCCACACCCCAAGGAAACTGCCCTTACATTGGAGCAGGGCTGTGACCCCTTGTAAGGATGTTGATTCCCATTTAAGCTGACTGAACACATCCGCTCGCACTGTTAGGACATCATGACAGAACTGCCAAACCATGGGGTTCGGGGCCCAGCCAAGTAGTCACAGACTTTGGAGATCACGATCCTGAGAGGCCGCGGTGGTGGCTGTGATCTCTGTGCCGGTGTGAAAAGAAGTCCTGGGTGCCGGAGTAGACCCTCCACATAGACAAAGAGGGTTCTTCCCTCTGACTTCCGGGTTCTGGGCCAGGAAGTTGCTCTGTTACCAGCCTAGAGTCATAGATTCAGGCAGATCATATGGTTTTACCCAACGTCTCTTGGTTATTTCCCCAAGACTCCCCAGGTCGTGTAAGATGAGAGCACTTTACTTTGCAGTAAGTGAAGGTTGCTGGAAGCAGGTTGGGACACTCCCTCTGTCCACCTGGGCATCCTCCCAGCAGGTAGTGTCCAAGCAGCTCACTCGCTCGCGCACATGACTCTTCCCCTTTTCCTGGGCAGGTGGAGAACGTGGCGCATCCAAGTGCCAATTCGGTTGCACTTTGCAGGTTTTCTGGATTGAATTAGCAATGAATTTCTCTTTGGTTTTCTGTTTTTCCCAGTCCATCTTACATTGTATTGGGATATAGACCACGTAACAGATCTCATACAGCTCACTCGTTTAAAGTGTACAATTCATTGGTTTTTAGTATTCACAGAGCTCTGCAACCAGCATGACAACCTAATGGTGAACATTTTCCTCGTTCTAAGAGGAACCCCACACCCATCAGCAGGCATTCCCCATCCCCCATGCCTTCCTCACAGCCCTACGCAACCCCACTAATCTATTTTCTGTCTCTTTCTCTTGAAAACAAGAGTTTACTGGCAAGAACCTTCAAGCAAAATTTTCTGTTTGGAGTACTCTCTATTATTCCATTTTGGGGTCCTGTACTTTTAGTGTAGGATCGGGTCAGATATTGGGGTTTTTTTTCTCTTGGTAATGGGGATTTGTCATTTAACATTGCCATAAAGAATCACCCTGAAGAAAGGTCCGGTTTTTCCAACAGGTAATTAATTTGGGCAAACCTCTGAAAAACCTTGGCACAGCAACCTTGAATATTGAGTGGCCAAAAGAAGTCAGTAACAGCAAATGGTTGCTTTACTTGGTGAAAGTGGAATCCAAAGGGTTGGAAATGATCACCTGTGACCCGCCAGGGGAAGTCAACCCCTTGAACCTAAAGGTATGTCACCTGAAGGGTCCGATGTCCCCATAGCTGTCGATGAGAGAAGGGGACTGGATGGGAAAAGTCATCACACTCTTTAGGAAACTGGCCTTGGGGCCTGGTGGTCTTTGCCCTCCGTGCTGCAGTATCTTCGGGCACGTTGTTGAGTAACCACGTCAGTGAGGAGCTTCTGCTGGTTAGTGACCATCCTGGGGAAGAGGCAGAGTCCCACAGTGTCGATCAAGGCCAATGGGATGTCTAGCTTCACCACCAGCAATTATGTAGTATGGCAAAATTGATAAGTAGAAATGGGGCGTGGTCCTACGTGGGAGTAGGGAGCTAGAGGCGGTAAGCATGCCACCAACCTTAACTTCTAATCGACATCTCATTGCACTGACCAAACGGTGTTGCATTTATTTGCCATAAAAATAACCAACAGGCCCAAATATATGGCAAAAAGGTATTATCAGTACCTTATAAAAAAAAAACACGCAGTACCTTATTAGTACCTTATCAGTACCTTATTTTTTAAAAAGATAGTATCAGTGCCTTATTAAGAAACCACACACACACAAAGTGTCTCACCACCATCAAGCTGATTCTGACCTTAGCAAAGAATCTTGAAAGTTTCTCGTGGTTAACTCATAAAAAGAGAATGTACTGAGCACAGTTGTGTGGCGTCTCAGGCCCTGTGCTGAGCATTTTGTCTGCCACTTGCTCGTTTCTTTCCCTTGGGGGTCCTGTGAAGTAAGAACTGTAATTACCCTGACCCGGAATTCAGAGATGGGTAACTTGGCAGAGTCCCTCTGTCAGAAAGAGGCAGGCTCTGCATGTAAGCCGGTCGGGCCGATTACAAAGCCTGACCCTCCCCGACCTCCCCCCCCACAG